ACTGACGTTCCTGGACATTTGCAAATAAGTGAATGAATCAAATTTCTTTCCTGTTATAAAACTACGACAAGACTACTGAAAAAATGGAATAAATATATCACTGATCTCAACATAATACATCAATAATCTTTAAGCCAAGGGTGCTGTTCACAACAAAGTTATATAGGAGAATTGACTTCAAGCTTTATTTTTCCCAGATATTTGTATTACATTCATCTGATGTCTGGGTTTTTTGTTAATGCGAAGACAATATTTCTATATCTCTTTATGTGTAACACAAACAAACTTTATAGCAGACTGTTCCGACTGACTTTGATGTCAGAAAGAACAACCAAACTGTAAATCCATTATACATCAAATTATGTGTAATTTATATAATAACTTATCCATGCCTGTACAATTGGTATGTTCCTGCATAAACAGGAAGAAATATATGTTATTATTTAAGTGTGTTTCTCAAACCGTTGAAGTTAGAATAAAGTAATGTAAAAACTGAACGCCTTATATTTGCCTACCTTTGCTGAAAAAGGTTCATTCTCCTTTCTCATTCTTTGGTCATGACAGCATTCTTCTGTGGCTTTCACTGTCACACATATCGTTCATCTTGTAAAGTATAGTACCAAACAAATAAGAATAATTAAATATGTTGTATAAACGGGCGTTTACAAGGAATGCATTCCATTTCTACAGGCAAAGTAATGTATGTTATAAATTGCAATCATGAAGTATCATAAATTGAAACTTTTTCAAAAGTTTAGATTATTCAATTACTGTACAAGTAATTAGAACAGGTTATCATAAATGTTAAATTGTAAACCCTTCACAATGAACACCGTATATTTGGGTGAGTGCTATGCTATCACTCGAATAAAAGCCATTTCAGGTTGGGAACAACGTCCTGAGAAACTGCGAAATGGCATGAAATACAATTATCGATAATGCGTCATTGAAAGTTCACCTACAAGATACATACAGCAAGTGACTATAGAGTCCTTGGAATGGTAGCATACATTTGCAATGTTTTATGCGAACCATATCGGTGTAAGCATGAAAACTGATGTTTTCTATGAAAATACAGCTTTTTTCAAACACTGGTGTTCTTGTGTTTCTAATCAAAGCAACCAGACTTTAAACAAGTAACCAACGGGCACAAAGAGTGAGTCTCAGCTTTAATAAAAGCCCATCCAGTTAGGATAAAACGGAGTGTAATAGTGCGTAAATTAAAAGACTATCGTGGAGTAGATGGGCGATATTTCAGTGACAGGTAAATCGAAAGATCCGCAAGCTTAGAATTCGTAAGACAACCTGATATGTAAGATCTCTCACGAACTTCTGTAGGGCCTATGGGGTAGCATGGATGTTTTGGCCTCATTCTGAGCTTTGGAAAGATAATTTACGAATGTAAGAGGTGATGGTCATCAAAACTGCGGTAATATTCTCTAGCTCTTTGGAACTTTTCACTTTGATGCAGCTTATTATCAACAGTTTGTAGTATTCATAGTGAGTTTATAAGAAAGTTTATTCTATCTTCATTTTCACCAACTGTCCCTTAACGCACAATAGCATGCAGTAACTACATGCATTCAAGTGTTGTAACCTGAACATTACAAAATCCCCATAGGTAACTTGTTCAATAATAAATGCTTCAAAAATATGAGTCATAAGTGCACCTTCCATATCCTTCAGAGTCACAAGTAATTTATTAAGGTTCTTAGAATATCTTAGTGATCTGAAAATGAATAATTATCAGGACTGGTATAACTTAAGTAACAGGTGTAATAGTTGTAGGATACAGCTACCAGCTACTACTCGACAGAAAACTGGTACTAATTTTAAGCAGTCTGACATTTTAGAAGAACCATCTATACTATTCTTCTTGTCCTAATGCACACTGATATCAACATTATCTGATGCCACTTTATGGACTGAGCAATTACGGTCTTCCGAAATTCCATGTGATAATGTAAATTAAACTAGTATCACATCTTCGCCTAAGTAATTTTATCTAGGAACTTCATCAAAATAGATATATTCACCCGGAAATTCAGTAAACTGTCTCATTCATCGCGTGATCTCTTCGATGTGTTACCGAATATTTCAGTCATCAATGGATGTCAATGTCCAGGTCCTTCCACGCTGGAGCTCACACTGTCCTTGGAAGACTTTCAGAAGCAATTTGTAATAACCAATGCGAAAAACCAGAACACAGATTGGCGACTCGAGAATCCTTTATTCTTACGCCAATATGTAACCAATAATAAGGTTATTATACACAAGGTCTAAGAATAAATCACGATAATACTTCTGATAGTTATCTTCCACTAAACAGCGAACGATGAGACGATGACTGATGGATGGATGACTCGCGCGAAAAATATGGAGGAGTTGGGTTTGAGCAAACAACCATGAATTGATCGTTCAATCTTCAACTACACTGACAAGGTCTGATCGTTGTTCTTTGCACCATCTCACTTTCTCCATCTAGTGTGCATATTCAAACTAAGCCCAGATATCACAATAGACTTTTTGTCATACCGTTTTCGGACTCCGTGATAACACACTTTCTGTTTTTAACATGAGTTGTTTCATTAGTCCTATGCAGCCTTTCACTCTGCGTCAGGCGGCATTCCATAAAGAACATTACGCAGCATGTCTGAGAGATTACACATTATAGAAACAGCAGTATCATGCCTCACAAACTCTAGAATGTATGTAATGTTTATAGTGTTCGTTTTCTGATAATCAGGTTACTTTAAATTATTTTTAGTCTCAAGAAATCATACGGCCTGCTTGTCTATTTACGAAAATACGTCATAATTTTTGTGACTGTTGTGCATCACATTCTTTCGAATTGTCGAGTGATTTATCGGGAATTCCAGTGAATATGATTTTAGAGTGGGTTCTTTCGTATCATAAGCAACTTTACTGAAACTAAAATTCTGTTTGTCACTCTAGTTTCTTAAGACAGAGCAGCCTAAACTTACTGTAATATAAAGACAAAGCTTATCGGCTTACTTGCTACACATTCCTGAAATATGCAACTTAACTGGTTGCACGTGGCTGGTAAACACCAATCGTGATCCAGTGATTCATTGTGGTTATGTAGAAGATGAGGCTACAGATGGCTCTGATGAGCGAGTTATCGAAAGTCTGGCTAAAGTTTCAGGGGGCTCTATTAATCAGCGTTTAAAATGTCGTGGCCCGATGTGGTTATTTATTATTTCGACACTGTGGTAAGTTTGATTGCTACTGTAGCTGATATTTGCTTATGGGTACTATTAGCAATTTAGTTCTACTACTTTGTCTGCTTACAGCATCATATTTTCTGTGAAAATAGTTAGCCATGAGGTGAACTAGAAGATTTAGGACTACGCTGAGGGATGAGAGAGATTTAAGATGTCGTGCTCATAATAATCACTCACCAGTACTCTGCTAATTTACAAAAGGTAGGAAGCTTACGAGGGTTGAGTGAAGTGAAGAGGTGGTACTTATTTGTAGGAATTAGTGTGGGTTTTATATATTATGCCAATGAGTATAGTGAATTTACTATTTCATTACCCATTCAAAGTAGTTGTGATGAAAAACCAGTGATCTCATGGCTGTGTGTAGACATACGACTGCCTTTACTACACGGTTAGTACAGAAAGCTACTTATGTTTTACTTTGATGATTCTTTAACTAATTTTCATGTTGTACTAACACTTCCTCAAACAGTGAATGTACCAGGTCATTAGATTTTCCATTTCCCCAATTTCATGCCTTTTTACTTGTGTTACGTAACCTCATTTGTACCAGAAATATTGTATAAGTAGTCATTCCACATTCCTATTCTATCACTATTAAGTGAGGCACCAATCACTTAAGAAAAAATTCAGAGTTCTGATGTAATAATCACTAAGATAGGTATTATGGTATGGTAAGTACAGAATACCTATCACATAGTTAACTTAGATCATTAGTTTTTGTTTTGTGTTGATAAATATCTTAGGTTTGAGGCAATGATCCACTTCTAATGCTCTATCTATTCACAGCGCTTCACTGTGTCAAATGAGAGCTGTAACAATAGTGATTTCCTGAATTCTGACGAGGTCAAACGAAAGGAATGAAGACTCGAACGCAAGCATGACGTTCATTCCCTGAGAATCTCTGGTTAGGGGCAGCGAAATGAGTGGTCACTACAAGTGACTGCAAAGTAATGTTTAGTTAACTTCTGGGAAGTTAGCAAACTCTGACTGTAATCAGAGAAATAAAAATAGAATTTGGTCACTGTGGTTGAGCGTAATTCCGTCAGGGTAAAAAATATTTGGTAAAGTTTCATCGTGTTATACAGTACTGTTTCCTGGTGACGTTTCGAGAGCAATTTATCGCTCATAATCGTGTAATATTAGCTTGATACTTATCCCGTGATGGGGGTTGAATGCAGTCACTCTCAAGCAGAACTCACTACGTTTTGAAATGACGATGACTACATCTACTAGCTTATTTTGTAAATATCTTTAGTACTGCACTTTTAATCCTGTACTTATGTGGCTACTTTCATTATGAAGCCCCTTATACTTTTAATAAATTTTGCATATTCGGTCATTTTCAACTCCTCTCCTATTGTTGAAATGGGGAAACTAGTGTACTCAACAGGAATTTTAGTCAATTATGCATTATTTTGGGACTCCTATTGTGCAGCAGTTGCAAATAAAAGTGTCTTCAACACAAATTAAGTACAAGACGTAGTTATTATGACCATGGTTAGCATTTTTAATTGCTTGCAGGTGAGCAAAAGAAACGTAATGCCTGTCTTGCATCAACTCTGACTACATGAAATCACACAGGTAGAATGGATGTTTAGTTGTCAAGACAGTGTTGCGATAGCCTTCAAAGTAAATCGAGTTTCTGGTGTTCTGCGTTACCCTCTCCATTTTCACATAGGAGTAGGAACAGAAATGCTGTTTAAAGGTTTACATGGTTGTGCAATTAACATCAAGGCAAAACACCTCCGAAAACCCATAGGTGTGTTGTTTGGGAGCCAGCAGGGGAAAGATGCAAAGTTCTCAACTATATTGGCCGCATACTGCGTAACATAGATTGAACAATTTCAATATCGAAATACGTTTGAATGCTGACTGCGTCCGCCAGTTATAATTTGGCGCTTTCGTTTCTCCGTAGAGGTCGTGTGCGTGGTATTGGCAATACTTGTGGTAAGTCTCAGAAAGTGGCATCCATGTTTCTTTAATTGTTACATGACTTTACGGTATCTATCATTACAGTCTTTGTTTAGCTTGAAACAGCAGGGTTGATGCACGTGGTATAAGTCATCTGTGCATTTGGTGATATAACACCATTGGTCGTTGTGCAAGAAGACTGCTTTACAGATGTGTGTGGGCACCATGTCGTTTGTCATAGTTTGCTGAACGGAATTTGCAATTTTGTTTTGTCTCCTAACTTGTAGGCAAAAGGTAAATGCATGCGGATTCGCGACATACACACCTGAGATTAGGGATCTGTGCAAGCAGCTTCTTGACAATGACATCTCATTCAAATGCTTCATTATCTAGGTTTGAGAGTTGAAACCTTAGTTCTTCTGGGAGCTTACTGGTATCTGTTATGCTGTTGAGTTTTAAAGTTAAATATTTTGTGGAGGGGTCTGAGTTTCACTGGGCAGCTCCGTATTGGTTTTATTACTTCGCAATTACTATTTTTTTGGTTGGTACTACTGTTTATTCAAGCCATTCGGTCGCGTTTATGCCAGTCAGGTTGACTGCCGGAAAATAGGCTAAGGCTTGGGGCCGGCCGGTTGGTCACGTGAACTATATTATCCATTGGAGAACGTAGATTTGTATGGCTTAAGATAGGATATTAAATCAGGTCGATGTAGTCTCAAATCTAGGAGTAAGATCCGGTGTTATTCTCTAGAGTACGGCTAGAAGTGTGAGTGAAGTTGGAGTCAAGGTGCATAAGTACCTTATTGGTCGCACTGATTTGTCTAGTCAAATACAGCTTACATCCCAGAAAGTTGACTGGGATAGCGACCAGCAAAAACATACCGACATCAAAGTGACTATAGTCATGTAAAACACGTCAGCGTATACTAATTGGCGATTGTGTTCATATGTATTTGCATTTCTATCTATTCTGAGTTCCTCTGCTGGAAAATTAATATCATAAAAAATATGTCGGCATTATTGAGTTTTTCAGCCATTACAAAAGATTTCGGTCGTTAATGTGTAATTGGATAACTTTGACCTGGTAATTTAAATGCCCTTGTTAACCACATTCCTATATGACAACTTATATCCTGTCTGGCTAAGTTAAACTATGGTAGCCACCTCGATGGACTCCACCGCAGATCTTGGTTGATTAATCAATTAAAGAGCTATACGACGAAATTGTAATTAAGATGGTTATAGATCAAAGTGTTATTTTCTGAAACTCGTCAAGTTAATCGAGGACGTAAGAAATTAATTGGTCATTCTTAATCAAAAGCCATGCATTGAGCTTGCATTTAGAGGATGTCTACCCGATACCTGGGCTCATTGACTGGCTTTGTTAGCTTTTCTCAACGCTGCTTTCAAAAGTAATCAACTTTTCCATCATTTTCACGGATGAATACAAATGCATTAATGCTGACGTGGCTAGATAGTACTCGCCTATTTTTTGGCGGCGTCATACTGATAAAGTTAAGGCGATTCTGCATTTTTTGTAAGGTAATGGATATGGAATATGTCATATCGTCCGTCTGGTAATTAAGGCGGAGACTTCCTGATATGCTGTAGAGGAAATCTAGTGAAAGTAGCAGTTGCTAGGATGACAAAATATTGACTATTATGTTACCGAGGTTTAGGTAAAGACCAATTTTTTGGTGAGAAGGATTTTGAAAAAAAGCTAAAAAGTCGTATCGTAGTAGTTGATTTTGCCAACAGAGTAAATAAACGTTCATTCAATACGATGATCACAGGGGTTTTAGTTTTAGTTTCAACCTATAGTATCACTGTAGTGCCAAGCCAAAATCTGGCTGGTTCCTTCAGTCGGACCTGATGAAGAGAAATATCAGTATATTTAAAGCCAGCAGTCTTGTTGGTGTCTTGATTGTCAAAAGAAAAATGGCATACCCATCAACTTGTCGATTACTTTGAATCGACACCAAGTTTTTGCCTTTCGTACATCAACAAGACGGTTTCTAACTGAATTCTATTATGGGAATGCTCAGCGACTCGTAGTTTCCTAGGCTTTTGTGGTGACTGCTTTCTGTTGACAATTCTGTATACGCTTTCACATGACTTGTAAGTTGCATTGATAAGCATAACACTCTCCACATTATCCAGAGTTTTACGGCGCCACTACCCTCCGGCGCACTTGTTACGTTTAGTCTGAAGAGTGTGGCACCGATGCATCTGCACAGAGCCTGTTGTAAAACTCATCTCGCTCGGTTATAAAAGCTGAGTGTTTCGGCAGGTAGCCTTTCTGGAGCTCGACACTTTGTGGAGGTGGATTGTCCCATTGCTTGGGGATTACAAATTATTCTTCTAGACAGATGGGAGGACGAAATATTTTTATGAATTGGTGTTTTAGCAAGATAAGTTCTGTCCTATTGCGTTTGGTAGTAGAGCCAGTTAAGTGAGCATGTCAGTCGCCTGTTGTTTATGGAGACAAAGTGTTGGGTGAAGTTGGAAACATTAATAGAACATACGTGATATACATTTGTTCACTCTTGGGAATTCCAACATCAATTAAAGAACTCTTCGCTTGTTATAACAAACTTGATTCAAAGTGTTCTGCCTAAGTACTAGTCGGAGGGTAATTTTGTATTGGACATGATGTTGGATTGGGTGCCTGCGTTCTATTTCCCGTGTAAAGTGGCATAGTAAGGTGAGCAACATGGAGGTTAGGCGTCGAGTTCTAGGTAAACAGGGGAAATCAATCAACGAAGTCGTGAAGCTACAAAGACTGAGATGGTTAGGACATGTGTTACGTATGCCAAGCCATCGCCTCCCTCGACGAGCAATGTTAGCGGATATAGGGTCAGGCTGGAAAAAAGCTAGCGGCGGTCAAACAAAAACTTGGCATCAGTCAATGAAATCCACAACAGTTGGTCTAAGCCACGTAGAAAGGTGTAGACTTCCTGACTGGTTGGGGTCCTCGGGACGGTAAAAATCTATGGTTGGAAACAATTGGTGACATGGCTCAAAATCGTTCTCAGTGGCGTAGATGCATCCACTCCCTGTGACTTATGATCTTCAATGAAACTGTTTTGTATTTCTTTATTACTCCTTTGTCTCACACCTCTGCTCACTGTTTCTATTATGCTTTTCTTGTACTTTCTTCTCTTGCTTCGCGTGCTACACGGAATGTGGCGACTTGAACTTCCGCACATTTGTGCAAAGTTCTATGTCGAAAACAGACAGACAGACAGACAGTCGGAGGTTAGGTTCGTCAATACAGTATTTTGTTTTATGATAGGATGCTGACAGAATGTACAGAAAAGTAGTTTTCATTGAGTTATTTTAGCAAATTCTAGTAGCGGAATGTAGTGTCCTAAACCTACATCCTTAAATAGTCTCTGAAACAGACATTTCCACCATAGTTTGATGCTTACCTTCTTGTAGACCTGACAAGCCACGTTCCTTTTTGTTGGGTAGTATGTGCTAGACTAGGATAACGATGGGAAAAACTATTGGTGTCCAGCCTGAAATCTGGATCACATGTCAAGAATCAGTGATTCATAACAGTTAGCGTTGGCCGGTTTCACATGTTCTAACAAAACTCAATCAATGGAATTACTTATTTTGTTATATCTGATTACATGAAATTTGTTCTTGTACCTCTGTTATTATGATGAACTCGATTGCTTGGGGATGATTAGTGTGGTATGTTTCATTAGCTTTATAAAAAATATCCGCTTTTGGAAAATTGTCCTTTCCTCTTTTAGACATGCCTCTATCGAGCAAGGCTCGAGTTTATGCAGATGTAAATCTAAATCGCCCTCGCGAATATTGGGATTACGAGTCATACGAGGTGAAGTGGGGGTAAGTCATTTGTTTTTCAGTACAAAATTCACTTTCTAGTGATCAGGATGATTATCAAATTGTGAGAAAACTGGGACGCGGCAAGTATAGTGAAGTATTTGAAGGGCTGAATATAACAAATAATGAAAAGTGTGTCATTAAAGTTTTAAAGGTAAACTAAGTTAATACACAGTAATGGTTGTTGTAAAGCCGGTCAAAAAGAAAAAAATCAAGCGTGAGATTAAAATCTTGGAGAATTTGCGTGGTGTGACAAATGTTATTTGTCTTGAAGCTGTAGTGAAAGATCCCATTGTAAGAAAAATATTTCTAATTACTTTGGCTTCAGTCTCGTACGCCTGCTCTTATTTTTGAACACGTCGAAAATCGAGACTTCAAAGAATTATATCATACCTTAACAGATTATGACATCCGGTATTATATGTTTGAGTTACTGCGTGCACTTGATGCGTGCCACAGTATGGGCATAATGCATCGGGATGTGAAACCGCATAACGTTATGATCAATCATCCTCAAAGAAAGGTACCGTTGTATTCATTTGTTTCTACTTAGCGCAGTTGCGTTTAATTGATTGGGGCTTGGCTGAATTCTACCATCCTGGTCAGGAATATAACGTTCGCGTTGCGTCGCGCTACTTCAAAGGACCAGAATTACTAGTCGACTATCAGGTTTGTTAATGAAATTATCTCACATATAAGTAAAGATGTATGATTATTCTTTAGATCTCTGGTCTCTGGGCTGTGTATTCGCCAGTATGATTTTCAGAAAAGAACCATTCTTTCATGGCCACGATAATTATGACCAGCTAGTACGAATAGCCAAAGTTCTTGGTACTGAAGAACTGTTTCAATATTTGACCAAATACGAAATTGTTCTGGATCCACGATTTAATGAAATTTTAGGGCGTCATACCAAAAAACGATGGGAGCGTTTTGTACATGCAGAAAATCAGCACCTTGTTAGTCCGGACTCTCTTGATCTACTCGATAAATTACTACGATATGATCATGCTGAGCGACTTACCGCACGAGAAGCCATGGAACATAGCTATTTTCGTAAGTTTTGTTCACATAGCTATAAACTATTTCTGATTACTAGGTCCTATCGTTCAAGAACATAGTAACCGAATGGCTGTGTGTGCTCAGCAAAACAATGATAGTGCTAAGAAACCTGGTAAGTCAATTCATTTTCTTTTCATTTAATTTCTCTAGGTTCGACTACGCCAAATGCTAATCCGTCATAACCTTGGCAATATTGCTTAAATCATTTTCATCAACGTTCCACTATACGATTACGGTTCACTTCCGTTCTCCAATTGTTTGGATTTGTATAAAGCCCGGTTGTCTCGTTGCATCCACTAATCATATATCATTTTATAAACTAGTTATACGCTTTTCTTTATCAGTGGATTCTTAAAAATAATATTTCCTAGAGGTGTATTCCTGTTTTTTCTGATGGCAATGGTTCTATATCTGTATGATTCAATATGAAAAGTTTTCTGCTGATAGTGTAGAAGTGGAGGCAGCCGTTAACTGCACCATGCCTACTAAAAGCTGCATTTTTTTTACAATCACAGATTGTTTATTTCGTGAATGCCAGTGAGTTTACCGTGTAAAATTGGACGATTGTTCTATTATCGTGTCACAAACCTTAAGTTGTGTGATACTCATTGTATTTGGCTCACTATTTGTTCCTATAATATGTTCTATAGAATAAATTGATTGACATGCAAATGGGACATACTTTGCTTTTTTTTAACTCGATTAATCGGTCTCGGAGCTATGATTTTAAATGTTGCGTATCGGGAAGTTCGGTTTTTCGAATAAATTTGTGGTCTTAGGAATGTGATCAGTTATGATAAAGGCAAAAAGTATCTTTTTCATGTTTTAATTTTTATCCTTTTCAGACGGTAAATCCATCTAACTGTTTGCGAATATCAGGGCTAGCGATGTATATATGTTGTAAATACTGCTTTCTAAGCCTTACAGTTATTTCAGATGTGTTCCAAGTTGTCGTCTACCTTATGCTTGTGTACTGTGGCAACTAACAATTTGAATTCTGTAAAGGTCCCCCTACTCGTTTCTAATATATGTTAACCTCTAGAAAACTGCAGTTGTCTGACACGCACTAAAGTGATCAGATAGAAAAATGTATAAGGTTAAGTAGGATTTAGTTGAATGATTTATCCCTCATGACTTCAGAATTGAGTAAGAAGGTCGTCGCACCGCTCAAAAATAAGATATGATGATATAAGTTGTTACTAGGGTATTCAAATGCATGAGAATAGTCGTGTTCAAATACTAGTTCAGTCATAGTCCTCTATTTTGAATGACTTAGCAACATGTCTTATACAGTCAGCCACAAATGGGTATAAGGACTTTCGTTAAGTCGAACGCTACATTGGCACTTTAAGGATCAGAAGTGAGGAGCCACACTATTTGGAAGTTGTTTTGTTCGGACGTACATTTGTCCTACCCTGTTTTTAAGAAAGCGCAAATGGGTCGATGAAAGTAAAGTTTCTACCTAGCCAAGTTGGAACATTTTTATCATAAATAAGATAGGTAAATTCGATAAACCCCTCTGTTCGCCAATAGTTTATATGTCCTCACATCCTGAAACTTATTATGTAACTGACACAACGGAAAGCATGTCATTTCGTCATCGGTAGGTCAAGGCAGATTACATTCTGGGGGAAACGTGGAGTGAATTTTACTGTTATGTGATACGAACAAGCATTGTAGTGCTAGAATGAGAAATAGTCATTAATGCAATCCTTGAGAACTAGTTAACTGCAACCATGTTCTGCAAAAGACATCCCGTTAATAGCTAGAATCGACTTACGAAACAGTCATTCCTGTATTTCCGCCTACTGTCTCTGTTCTGCCTAAAATGAAGCGACCTGAGTTAAGATACTGTTTCTGCATGCACGACTAACGAAACTAAAATCTGGATTCTGGTTTTAGTTTAGTGTACGCTAGTTTGGTGGTGCGTCATCGTGTTCATCGTTAGTGAATATCCGACAGCTACATTTATGGTTAACTGTTATTCTTAAAGGGAGTATAAACAGACACCAATGTTAGTTAAAGACACTTAGTGGTGACGGGCTAAGTTTATTCCGAGTGGAAGCAGACTACGTATCCACTCTAAGGGCAAAATCATGTTTCCCGGAGAACCGCGAACCAAGGCCACAACGTGTAAGTGAGCTTGAAGCTAGTATAACTCACTAAAGCCACAGTGTCAGTTAGTCGAACGTGCAGCAAAGTCGACAACTATTTTTAAAAACCTGAGACACTAGGCAAAGTATTTACAACAGCCTCTTAGCTGGTCTTCAGCCGTAGCATTAACTGAAAGCATATTTGTTCAGTGTCAACTAACACCAGTCCAGAACATACTTGACGCATGCAGTCTTAGGACTAGCCGGAAATTGGTTGGGAGAGGCCACTAGTTAATCAGAGATTTAGCGCTACACAGTTGAGAGTTGTTTTTAATAACCATCTCTTGGTGCGTCATGAATTTTTGTGTAGGGTCTGAGAAGTCATTCGGCTCAGTAGTTTGTGTCAAAATGGAAGAAATTGGTGGTTGTTTCGCAGCTGTTCAAAGTGATGGATCTTCCATAAAATTATCAGAGATGCAGACTTCGGCATACTGTTATTTCCATGCTAGATTTTCTCTCTACTAGTGTTTCATTAATTGTGGTGGCAGTTTCTGTAATCCTGATGATAGAATACACGTCTACATGTAGATACATAAGTGGTATTTTCACCCTGGAATATCAGTGCTCATATTCACCATTTTATGTCAGATTTCTTTGCAATTCCGTGTTAAATATGCATATCTATTGCCTCTTATCGCAAACAGATTGAGTGTGGTTTGTTTGGCATTAAGGTTATCACAGAGTTATATAACGTCGTCTACATCCTGCGAGTCAACTAGTCCTCCCAATTAGTACATCTACATTCGCATTGCATAACTCCTTCAAGTGTACAACCATTTCACATGACTTATCTTGCAGAATCACAAATAAATGCTAGGTGTGGTTTTTACTGACGTTTCGCTATTTAATGCTAATAGGTGTATCAAAGCAGTGACAGCAATTTAATTTTAACAACTAATTTACAACTTTCTGTAGTTCAAACTAATTATGTTTTGGAAGGAAATGGTCACCTTGTATTTTCCGTCCTTAAGCATCTCATGTAGGTGTATCGCGTTGACTGTATTAAGCCTGTATGTTGGTAGTAGAAAGTTCTATCTCCCGTGTGAAGTGGTATAATAAGGTGAGTAATATTGAGGTTAGGCGTCGAGTGCTAGGTAAGGAGGGGAAATCAATCGACGAGGTTGTGAAGTTACAAAGACTGAGATGGTTAGGATATGTGTTACGCATGCCTAGCTATCGATTGCCTTCCTAGACAATGAGCAATGTCAGCTGACACAGGATGGATCAGGCTGGAAAAGAGCTAGCGGAGGTCAAACAAAAACATGGTATCAGTCAATGAAATCTACAACAGTTAGTCTAAGCCACGTAGGAAGGTGTAGGCTTCATCCGGACGGTAAAAACCAATGGTTGGAAACAATTCGTGACAAAAATCGTTCTCAATGGCTGGCTGACGCAAATGCATCCACTCTTTGTGACTTATGATTTCCAATGAAACTTTTGTTCTTCGTTATTACTCTTCCTTTGTCTCACACCTCTGTTTACTGTCTCTATTATGCACTTCTTGTACTTTCTTGTCTTGTGTGCTAAATGGAGTGTGGCGACTTGAACTTCCGCACATATGTGCAAAGTTCTATGTCGAAAACAGACAGACAGTAGAAAGCTCGGCGGGTTAAAACCTTTATTCAGTCGTCATATCACATATCAGGACAATAGGATAAATGCACCTCATGCGAAAGAATTCAGAGTAGAATGAACTTTCTTGCTACCACTTGTTACCACCAGTAAAAAACATTTTCTTCTCGGTAGATTCATTCACTTAGCTGTACTTATTTTCCTATGTATGTGTACATTAGGTTTGTCCGATAAGAGTAAAAAATAAGTTGGGGTTATTGTTGTCAAGACATTTCAAATTATGATGAGTAATCAAACTGTAACTAGGCGGAGGTGGAGATTGATAAGAGGTTAGTGGTGATGTGTTGTCAAAAAAAACATTAACACATAAAAGAATTCGAATAAGCGTAACATAGTTACGTAATAAGACAGAGGATTTAATGAATGACACCGTGGCAACTGTGTTGACTTCTTCTGACTTGGTGTTTGTGTGCTTGCTTTTTTTAAATTCCTAATAACATTTGTAATTTTTAGGACTCATACATGATTCTATATTTTCCTTTGTTTCGATGTACATTCTAATCACAACACACATTAAACTACTCATCTTATTACGTAACTTAGGTAACTATGTTACGCTTATTCGACTTCTTTTATGTGTTAATGTTTTTTTTTTGACAACACATCACCACTAACCTCTTACCAATCTCCACCTCCCCCTAGTTACAGTTTGATTACTCATCATAATTTGAAATGTCTTGACAACAATAACCCAACTTATTTTTTACTCTTATCGGACAAACCTAATGTACACATACATAGGAAAATAAGTATATGTTATCGCGGTTGTACAGGTAAGTGAACGAGACTCTTCGCTCAACTACGTGTTTACTTGTTTTCATTAATTTCTGAATGGCGATTATTCCATGAAATAACATTTTACCCTGTGAACGTTGGAAATTTGTAATTGGCTGTGGATAGGATTCACTAATCCAAGCCAACATAGTTGTAATAGCGAGTAATTTCACTTGAGAACCTCGGATATGGTGCTTATTCAGCTTCAAACTTATCTCTATGTTGTTACTTTGGATGTCTTGTGTGAAAATCTTGTATAAATTAGGAATTCACTTGTTCTTCTTCTTATTATTATTATTATCGCGATTCATTTCACCGAGAGTAATTGTTTCCCATTAAGAGGATTTCTTGGATCCTTTTCGCTACAGTGAAATGTGTCAGATTCTGTTTGCCTCCATATTTTTTACGTCAGTAAAAGATGCTTCATTGAATATTGTCCGCAAAAATCATAATTACAGATGCAGAAGAATTAACTTATTCATTTGGATGTGAGTTGTGTATATGTGGTTTTCATGTGTCATGTAATTTTCTTTTTAAATGATTTTATGATGTAGCCGGATGTAGGCATTTGAATTTCACCAAGTATTTTCTCTTTTTGTTGTCTTATAAAGAAGAGGATATTTACTTTATTAATAATTCCTACTTCTGATACTATTAACTGTGAATATAAACTTAATTGTTATTCACCAGGTTTACTAATATGCCATAAGAGTAGTGCTGGTTTTAACTTGCATGAATTTCTGCTACTAATGTATTCGATAGTGTTTAGCTGTAAAATCTAAGACGCATCTTTCGTTTTCTTTCAGACATACCAACTGGGATATACATGCATCATAGTGAGTGTTGGTGTGCCATTTGAAAGTGATAAATTCAATCTTTTCAGTCAACAGTAAAAGATAATGTTTTTCAAGGATAGAAAAAAGAGAAAATTCTAGTAACGGCCTTATACTGCTTCAATAAATAACGAATACCTTAGTTTCTCAGTCCAGTCAACAACTTTCTGCTGCGTGCAGTAGCAGTTGATAGCCTTCAAAAAAGGAGAAGGTTTGCGTTTTAGTCTCACTGCTAACCACTACCAGATAACTTTTAAAGATGGCTACATTAGCAGTTTCCTACTGAAGTTAGTAGTTAGTGTCATTCGTCTAGTCCT